ATATATATATATAAACCAGGCCTACTCCATTCTTAACTAAAACTTTATGGGTGATGTTATAGGGCAAATAAGGTATGCTTTGTTTCCCTGTTAAAAGTGGATCTTTTGGATATCCCATTTTACCTAGCACAGGATTAGGTCCATTAATCCTGGATGACTGGATAATGATCTACTCATTAATTCAGTCTCCAATAATGTTCATCCTATTCAAAACTGAAGGGAGCTGGACTAACATGCACTATTATTTAGAAAGAACAATAGATGATACAAATTGATAATATTTTGATAAAATATCTAAAATACTTGAGAAAAAATCTTTAAATACAAATAATCAGTGTTCTAATTATAAACTCATTGTGTGACTTATTATGAAAACATGTGCTTTGTATGTCTAGATTTCCCAGGACAGTTCTGTGAATATTCTGTTCCACTGTCTGATCACGTACCAAAGCCCATGTTCTCATTTTTGGTTCAGGACATGTGATTACTATCTCTACACAGAGTTCTACTAGGAGGCCTTTTGTTAAATACTTAACTTCTTTCACTTTTAAGTCTATCATTCAGACCTTTTATGGTTTCAGCTGGATCTTTCCTCCACTGATCAGAACAGTGGGGTTCTAACTATAGTGATAATAATCATCATTGTAATTGAAATAGTAGCCAACTTTATTGACAGTGAGACACTCTGTGGTAACTCTGCTAGGCAGGTATCATATTTAGCACCAGTTTACAGAGGAAGAAACTAAGGTACAAAGAACTAAAGTAACTTGCCCAAGGGGAGAGACCTTGTGTGTGTTGCTCCTGAAACAAGTTATGGCGTGTTTGTCAAACAGTCTTGAAGAAGTGGGGTCATGAGTCCGGGAGGTTTCCTTAGTGCTTTCTTTTCTTTCTTTTTTAGGGATTTTATTTATTTATTTGACAGAGAGAGACACAGCAAGAGAGGGAACACAAGCAGGGGGAGTAGGAGAGGGAGAAGCAGGCTTCCCGCGGAGCAGGAAGCCCGATGTGGAGCTCGATCCCAGGACTCTGGGATCATGACCTGAGCTGAAGGCAGACGCTTAACCAACTGAGCCACCCAGGCACTCCGGTGCTTCTTTTATTAATAACTCTTACAAGCTTTGTGTTTCTACTTTAATAATGATCATGTGATATCTTTTTAATACATCTTTTAAAATGCTTGCTTGACCCAACTCTTAAACAAATGTTTGTGCAACAAGGATAATCTAGTCTTGCAATCGAAATTAGCTTTTTAAATAGTATTGGAAATCCTATTTCCAAAATCCAACCATTTTATGTTAACACCAACCTTGGAAATATTGGAACTAATCAATGCTTGATATCATTGCTATCTTCCTTATCTACTCCTCCGTCTGGTTTGCCAGGAGCATACAACATAAAATGAAGGGGCAAGTAGGCAAAGTTCACACTTTGAGAATGAGTCAGCCAAACTCTATCTTTAGCAGAGATGAATAAAATGCAATTATGGAACTGCTTTTGACAACATGGAATCTGGTTGCATGGCTACACTTCTAAATTCTAGAGCAAATCTTCACTGCATTAAATCTTTCAAGGGCCTCTTATTAAGCAGCCCTGTCTCCAAACTGTCAAAATAATAATCCTCCTCCAACTAGGAAATATATGGAAAGCAATGCATTTGATAATCACAGAGATGATGAGGGACATGTAAAATTTCAATATGGTAGACTGGATCTATTTGAAGAAAGAACAGAGATTTAGAACTTAATCTTTGCTCCTACCCAAGTCTGATGACACATTTCCTACAATACTCGTCTCTATTGTAATTACTATACAAACAGATGGGTGGTTATTGAGAGGGGAGAAGAAAATATCTGGCAAGAAAATAAACTCTTGAGGAAGATTAAGAGAGCAATTCAAATCAATGAACATTTATTAAGTGCCACTTATGTGCAAAGAGTTTCACTGGGCTTGACAATTCAGAAGAAGAGAATTAACATTTGTTCAGTGTCCTCCTATGTGGCTGGCCCTGTACGAAACACTTTCTGTACTTGAATTCATTTTATTCTTGCCACTATTCCAACAGGTAGCTGTTTAGCCCCCTTTGATAAAAGCACCAAAGACTCTCAAAACCTAAGTAAATGTGTCAAGCTCCGTAAAGGAAGAAATAGGATTCTAGTTCATATCTTCCTGGTTCCAAAGCCTACCTTCGTTCATTTTCACACACACATTGCCTTATTTTTACTCAACAATTCTATGAGGTAGAATTTTTTTTTTTTTTTTTTGTGGTAAAGAAATCAGAAAAAACATGATGGTGTGCATGGACATCATGCGACCAGTGATAGAGCAAGGAATTATGTCCATTTGCCTTTTACTGGGCCCATACTATGCGCTAGACCGATTTCATATTATCTCATGACTCTGAGTAGAAGTGTAATTGCCCACACAGAGCAGATGAAGAAAGCAGCCCTTTGGTTCCATGATAAATAATCCAGGACAGTTTCACTCCCCCCAGCTGTTGACAGGCATAATTACAGAATGATATGTGAAGTTACAAATACTACAAATACTAGAGCTACAAGAAGGAAATGTAGTGCCTTCTAAGGAAGAACCAGGAAATGTGGGTCTGGAAAGTGGGGCTTGTCCTTGAACTGACTCTCTGTACTTTGCAAATGCCTTTAGACAATAGATGGTAAATCAGCTTGCAGCAGTAACTTGGACAAAATAATCGAAAGAAGTACCTCTTCATCCTTAGGGCCTACACGCAAACAGTAGGTGTGTTCCGATTTCAATCTGTGAGCCCTGAAGGCTTTCCGTGACAATTTGTGCAGAGTACAAATGACCAGATGTGTCTACCAGACTGTGATGCCCATCAGTGAAAAGATGCAAATTCTGATCTTTTGAATACTTGGCTCCATGGGAATTTTCCAAAGTAATCGATAACACAGGCTGGATCAATGTATATGCCCAGTTATACTAACAGAGAAAAGGTAACCGTTTCAAAATGCCTTTAGCAACCCAGTCTGCAGATTGTTATTGGTGTGACTATTGCTGAAACAGGTGTTGGGCTCATAAATTTGCATAACAAAATGTTTTCCTTGTGGCAGCAACCCATACAATAATTGGTGCCATCTGTATTTATCTATTGAAGTTTGGTTTCTGATATGAATACAAAGAATCTTGTGGTGTCTAATCTCATAGCACCCAATTTATTGAGGGTGGTGGACATTGGAGAGGCGTTCATCATTCCCAAGGAAAATACAGATTGAAGGAAAATGTTGAAGTGATGACATATGTTGCTATTCCTTCACCGATCATTTTCGTTTCTGACTATGTGAAACAGAATCAAGGCCACACGCCTACAGAACTGCTTCTTCAGAGTAGTACGTGGGGAAGATCCAGCCAGAATGGAAAACCAAGGGGCTCTGTCAACCTATTTACAATTCCCTTTTGAAAGGCTCTGCTTGCTTGCTTGCTTGCTGAGAGAGAGAGAACAGGGCAGGGCAGAGAGAGGGGAAGAGAGAGAAATTTCAGCAGACTCCATGCTAAGCATGGAGCCCAACATGGGGCTCGATCTCACGACCCTGAGATCACGACCTGAGCTGAAACCACGATTTGGACACGTAACCGATGGAGCCACTGAGGCACCCCTGAAAGGCTCTGCTTTCACTAAAACCTCTCATTTTCTGATTTCTTACCTCTTAACCAGTGAGTAGAAATCCGAGTTTGGTGCAAACTTCATATCAGCTCATACTTTTTACTAGCTGAGAAGCAGAAGCAATTTGAGTTGTAGTTTTATCTTGGACTTGTTTCTAATGAGGGGAAGGAAAAATACAAAATTGTATGAAAGCTTAGTTTTTTAAAATCTGAAAGACAATAATGCAACATTCTAATAAAGAATATCTTAGAACCATGAAGACAGTCCTTTTCAGTGAATATCATAAAATCTATTTGATTGTCTCTAGCAATTCAAGCAAATTGCATATCTTTAAAATAAATGTTTTAGGTGAACTCTGTATGTATTCTTTAAATATTTTATATTTTTTATACCTACAGGTCCATGAAGACCTTTATCAGTTAAAGGAGAAATTAACAAATTTCCTACTTGAGGAAAAAGGAGAGGCTCTAAACATTCAGAATCTTGAAACTGCAATCAAAAGGACTGAAATGGGGTTAAGAGTAAGTAGAGCTTTAGATATTAAATAAAGTGCTGGAAGGAGACAAAGATTCCTCTAGAAGAAAAGGACTATGGTTCTCACAGGACCCTGTGTAATTCTATAACAAAGATGGACTTAGGTTGGTCAGCAGCTTTCTCATTCTGTTCCTTTTATTAAAATCGTGATTATTAACTGATTGGTTGGCATCCTGTCACATTCCACAAAGAATTTAAGGTGTTGGGAATGTAAGATTATGCAGTGACAACCCCTAATGTGTGGCTTGATAAAAAGAATTAAGAATTTTTAAAATAACCATTAGTCCAAAAATATGCCTGACAAAAAAATGATTCAAAGCAATACACTGGCAGAGAGTTTCTATCAGATTCACTGGGGTGCTGAAGAATAAGAGTTTATTTTTCCCTAAATAGCTTAAGTATTTTTAGATTAGTAATTTTTGTGATATTGTGATCCAGTAGGTAGAGCTAAAGAGATGTACCAATTTTGGAAGAGAGAAATAAAGTACACAGGGACTTCATCATTATAGATGGGTTGAAGAGCAGATAATTTTTAGACCAGGATAATATTTATTTATAAAACAAGGATCTAGGGGCGCCTGGGTGGCTCAGTTGGTTAAGCGTCTGACTCTTGATTTCAGCTCAGGTCCTGATCTCAGGGTCGTGGGATCGAGCCCCATGTCAGGCTCCGTGCTCAGCGGGGAGTCTGCTTGAGATTCTCTCTCTCCCTCTCTCTCTACCCCTCCCCCCTGCTCTTTCTCTCTCAAATACAAGGATCTATTAGCACATGGGTCCAAATAAGGACCATCTCCATCTTCGAGACCTCGAACTGTCACTGTCCCTGCTCTGGCCTCAGACTTTCACTCTCCCACATTGTCAGCTTCACAGCCCAGCTCCTCAGGCTGTGAGAGATGGCGCGTGTTTTGTTGCCTCATCAAACTGGCCCACCATTGTCCTAGATTACCTGACAGTGAGAGGGCTGCACCCAGCTGGAGTCTTTGGGTTGGCCATTTTAAATAATCTGTTACCAAAAGGCCACATTCTTGCCCCGGATGCTTGAAATCCCTATAAAGGAAAGACATTACTCCATATCCATCCTGCCTAGTAAGCTTACCTGGCTAAGCGATTTACTGACTATTGTGCATAGTTTAATTTGTGAAGAGTGCTACAGGTCATTCAAGCTCTGAGCCTCAATTGTTTATTATGCTTTTTGGGATAGTTAAAGTCATTTAGCCTCGAGATGCCCAATGATAGTTTAGGCATGCAATAAACGCATAGCATGTTGTGTCTTTTGGCTTAATTACACAATTCAAAGCGTTATCCTAATGAAATAAAGTAAATTAGCTGAGTATCTTAAGTCCACTATAATGGCCTAAACTTTAACTTTTCTGTAACAGATTCACATTGAGAAGTATTTAAATGTTGTAAACCATCATGTGTTAACGACTCCTATTGATGACGATAATTTATATTCTTCTCCCGCTTCCAAGTGGTAAGTAAAAGAGCCATTTTGGGGTCCAAAATAAGTACAATAAAAAAATAACTTTTCCCACTCAGGTCAGATGACCATAAAGATAAAATCTTCTTGGCTTTGTTCATATCCATGCTACGAATTTTAGTAGTTTTGTATAAGAAGTTAGTGGCAGCATTTGAACTTTAATGAAGTTTATTCCAGGTTACTCTTCTTGCCTTCTAATACTTGACACCATGACAATTACTTCAGAGTCCTAGTTTTGGTGTTACTATTTTTTTTTTAGTAAAAGGTATCCAAAATTCAACTCCTAAAGGAAATATTTGTAAGTTATGATAGCTGAAAAGAACAAACTATGAGGCAATTATAGCCTCAGAGAACCAAGCAGAAAGGTTCAGGCAAAGACCTCTCTTCTACAGTTCTTCTCCCTTGCCAAGGAGTGTCCTTGCCCCTTATTAGGCTCTGGAAGAGTGAAGGAAGACTTCACTATTCACTGGGGCATGGAGCTGGCTACCAGAAGTAGTTCTTGGATCCTTTCTCTCCTATTCAAGACAATATTAAGATCACTGGCCTCCCAGCAGGAAGGTAGGAGCCTGGCAAATTTGTAGAGCCTTGCAAGCCTGGGGGAGTATCTCCATCATGGCTGTGAATGTATGCTGCTAAAGTAGCACATGCAACTTGAAAATGAAATGATAGGAGCCAGGTCGAAAACTGGAGAAAAGTCCAAACGGGTCCTGCCTAGTAAGCTTACCTGGCTAAGCGACTTTAAAGTAAGCAGGCAGGTCCTGGGAGTCACAGGAAGTGGCTCAGGGAGGAAGCTAAGCAGCAGCAGGAGATGGAAATGGAAAACAGGAGAGTCAGGAGATCAGGGACTGTTGTCTGTGACCAGTGTATTTCCGGGTCGATAGTCACACCGGACTCTGCACTTGCAGGGGTTCCCAAGAGACTATCATGAATAGACTTGGCCTCAGAGTCTATGTTCTGTTGGGAGTTTTCTATGCAAAGCTGTTTGCACAACCCAGAATTCCTGCAGGTTCTTATGCTTGGGGGCAGTGTGACTGGCCAATTCATTGCATTTTTCTTCTGAGGTTCCATGACAAAAGTCCTTCTAATACCCAAGTAAGAAGGTGGTTTTCATTATTGATGGCAGGACTCACTGAGGGACAGGTTGCTTATCTCAACATTGCTCAGGGGGCCAGAGGAGGAGACTTAGATTATCAAAGTCTTGAGTTGGAATAAGCTGGACCTGGCCTTTTATCCCACATGGCTGTTAGTTTAAAAATTGGGGCATGAAGATGTCCATCGACAGATGAATGGATAAATAAAATGTGATATATATATATATATATACATACACAATGGAATATTATGCAGCCATCAAAAGGAATGAGATCTTGCCATTTGCAATGACGTGGATGGAACTGGAGGATGTTATGCTGAGTGAAATAAGTCAAACAGAGAAAGACATGTATCATATGACCTCACTGATATGAGGAATTCTTAATCTCAGGAAACAAACTGAGGGTTGCTGGAGTGGGGAGTGGGGTGGGAGGGATGGGGTGACTGGGTGATAGACACTGGGGAGGGTATGTGCTCTGGTAAGCACTGTGAATTGTGCAAGACTGTTGAATCTCAGATCTGTACCTCTGAAACAAATAATGCAATATATGTTAAGAAAAAAAAAAGAAGAAGATAGCAGGAGGGGAAGAATGAAGGGGGGGAAATCGGAGGGGGAGACGAACCATGAGAGGATGGACTCTGAAAAACAAACTGAGGGTTCTAGAGGGGAGGGGGCTGGAAGGATGGGTTAGCCTGGTGATGGGTATTAAAGAGGGCACGTTCTGCATGGAGCACTGGGTGTTATGCACAATGAATCATGGAACACTACATCTAAAACTAATGATGTAATGTATGGTGATTAACATAACAATAAAAAATTTTTTAAAAATTGGGGCATGCATCCATAACATGTATTTATTTATAAATTGTATACTTATCCTAGGGAGTGAACACATTATAAAATACACGGACAAAGAAACATTTAAATAATGAGACAAAGAAGATTAAACAGTTTAAAATATTTTACTTTATTAACAGCACGAAACTGTCTTTTGCTAAAAAAGGTTATTAATTATAATGTTCTGGTTGCTTTATCTTATTAATCACAATGGCTTTATACTGGCTGTAGCTAATAACCCGAAACACACTCTATGCTTCATGGAGATTCAGCATGGATGCTGGTTGAATGGGAATCCATAGTTCAGTTAGTCTTCTGGATAATTTTTAAGTTGGTGGTTGGGGGTGGAGATTTCGTGGACTCTTCATGAGTTTGATTGGTTTATCATCATTTTTGCTCTCTAGCGTGGCTGAAGAAAAGCTCAGGCTATGAGTAAGTGTCCATTCTGGCATTTTATTTTTCACTGATGCCCATTTTCACTGGCTTCAAAATACAGTCTGTTTTTTTGCAGGAATCTTTTTAAGACACCTGTCCATTTTCTCAGGCTTGAGTGAAAATTAATGAATAGAATCCATGAACTCACTCTACGAGTAAACTCCAGAACATTCTAATGCTGTCAAAAAACATCACATAGACCTTACTGTTCATGCCCTTGTGGTTTGGAATCTCCACTCCCAGGAGGCCTCCAGAACTGCAGGGAACATGACCACAGGAGGGATCCAGGGACAAGCTGAATATTAAATAGTAGCACAAAGTAACTTCTTATTTTTATTTCTTCTTTTACATATTTCTTATTTGGTGTAAATAGAAGTTCTTATACTCTCCTCACCCACCAATGGCATTCTTTTACGGATCGCCTGAGATGTGGGCATCCTGTTTGAGAGACCACAGGTCTAGAACGACGGTTCTTAAACTTTGGTTTGCAATCCTCCTTTGCCAGCCCCCGGATGGTCTGGAATTGGCATTTTAACAAAGAGTCTTGGTTATTCCTAATGCAGATAATTTGTGCTTAGAATCCCCGGGACAAGCATAACTCCCTGGAATTCGTATTCTTTTGGCCACATAGAGGGTCTGCCTCTGTATGATCAAGAGCCTGGTCCTGGAAATTCAGCTCCCCCATTGCTATGAAGGGTTGGAGTAAGCCTCTTGCACTAGGAATGAGCCACAAGTGGGACCTGGCAGTCAGGCCACTGCCACCGTCTGCTTATACCGTGAGTGTGCTGGAGTGTCAGAGGCCAGGAGTCCAGAGAAGCAGCTCTGAGAGGGGTGCTATATAATAAGGACGGTGGATCCCCGTTGCTCCCTTGACAGCAAGCACAGTTGCTACGGTAGACTGAGAATCAACATTGTTCAGAGATATGGGGCTTCATTCCAACTATGGCAACCCAGGAAATCAGGAGAGTTCATGCCAAATGAATTCCAATACTATCCCTGGATATACCTTAAAAAATGATTTAGAACAGGCCAGATACAATCATCATCTTCATTTTCATCATTATTGTGAATTTCATCATTGTCACCAACAGCTTCATAACACTTGACAGTTTGCAAAGGACTTTATTTTACCCTATGAGGCAGATATTTAACCTTTCCTTTTAAAGATGTACATCCTGAGGGTCACAGCAGGCCCGGGTCACACTGGTCGTTGGTGGTGAGACCCAGACTCAAGTCCAGTCACCTGTGTGCGATCGAGCGCTCTCCAGCACCATGGCCGCCTGAAAACCAAGAAGTCTAATTTTCACAAAAGATGGTTTTCTTTTCAGCAAGAAGGGATAATCTGGTCATTTTGTCCAGTAGAAACAAAAACCAGGAGGGACACAAAGTGATAACAACTGATGCCAGCAAATGCAAGATTTCCCCCGCCGTCATGCAGAAAACAACAATGAGGACATTATCAAGAGTGGTCTATTTTCTCCAAAGAGCTCAAAGAGCTTTTGTATTGTTTTCAAAATATGTTCCATTACTATCCCACTTTGGCAGTGATTCTTCTATGTCAAAGTGTCTTTCTTCCTCTCACATGATTGGCTTTCAAGGATTTTATTGCTCATAATATGTGCTCACACTGCTCTTAACGACCATGCTTTGTTATTGACACTGGGAGGATGACGACCATCTGTACCCACATGATCAGAACTGCACGGAAATCATTTTATATTCTGTTGTGCCAGTGTTTGAGAAGGGGGAGCAAGAACAAAGCAAATAGATAATAGTGAGCATCAGTGAGAGGGAAAGAAGAGGTTTGTATTGCATGGTGAGTGTCCATCAGAAGGTACATTTTCCTCAGTTGATGAAGCATCCCAGAGCCCAACCATTGTGGGCTGTTACATGGCGGTACATGAATCCCACTTGTGTAGACTGTGACTATATCCTAGTCACAGGGAGAGGTGAAGCACAGGGAACAAGATGGGAACGCCTGGTGGTCTGTGTGAAGGGTTTGTGGAGGTTAACTGTTCTTTCCATTTCTCTGTGGGTTTGAAATTTTTTTAAACCAAAAATAAATTTTTTAAGAAAGCAGTATAAAATGAAAAACAAACTGGGAAAACATCTGCAACAGATAGGACACAAAAGTTGCTAATAGTCTTTTTAAAAAGAGCTCCTGCCAATACAAAACAAAAAACAAAAACTTGACATAGAAGGACATCAACAGACTACTCACAGAGATAGAAATGCAGATAAGCAGTAAATATGTGAAAAATGTTTAATCTCATGGGGAAGCCAGAGAAATGCAGTGTAAACAATATATTATTATATTTTCTTTACAAATTAGCACAACAGATCATTTAAACCATCCTCATACTCAGGGCTGATGAGGTGGCAGTAGGAGGGGAATACTTTGATTCTACCACTGAAGGAATAAGTTGGACCAAAGTCCTTAAAGGCAATTTTTCAACAGGTGTGAGAAGCTTTTTACAATTGTCATTTTTTAATTTAGCTGTTGTACTTCTAGGAACTTCTAGGAAATAAGAGAGACACGTGGATCTCTGTATAAGTTTGTTCACTTCAGTGTTCTATTTTATAGCAATAAATGTGGAAATACCTTCAATGTTAACAGTTAAAGCATGATTCAGTCTATAGCACATCTATGTGTGCATTGCATAGCTAGCTATTAAAACTGATACTGTCCAAGGGGTGCCTGGGTGGCTCAGTCGGTTCAGTGTCTGCCTTTGGTTCAGGTCATGATCCCGGGGTCCTGGGATCGAGCCCTGCCTCAGGCTTCCTGTTCAGTGGGGAGTCTGCTTTTCCCTCTCCCTCTGCTCCTCCTCTACCCTCCTCCCCTGCTTGTGTGCTCTGTCTCTCTAATAAATAAATAAAATCTTTTTAAAAAGTTTAAAATTAATACTGTCCGAGAAATTTTAATGACATGGAAAAATCCTCACAGTATATATTGAGGGGGAGAAAGCAGGATGCAAAATTGTATCTCAGTTCAAACTCACTTTTTTTTTTAAGACTTTATTTATTTATTTGCCAGAGAGAGAGAGCGCACAAGCAGGAGGAGCGGCAGGCAGAGGGAGAAGCAGGCTCCCCGCTGAGCAGGGAGCTGGATGCGAGATTCGATCCCAGGACTCCGGGATCATGACCTGAGCTGAAGGCAAACACCCAACTGACTGAGCCACCCAGGCATCCCTCAGTTCAAACTTACTTCTAAATACATAATGCGCAGAAGTGAAAGGAAGATGGTGTAGACATACTTGCTTCTATTCCTTCTGATAAATACAGCTGTAAAGTCTGGATATTATATACAAAACAAACTTAGGAAGACTTAGAAAGAAGGCAGGCCAGTTAGGGGCCCTGGGACCCAAGGAAGGACATAATGGTGAGGCCCCTGGATTTTCTTTTTGCTTTGTGTATCCCTTTATTGGTCTATATTGTTCCTTCTCTCTGTAGAGCTTCTTGTGACATTTCTTACAAGAGAGGTCTCTGGTGACAAATTCCCTTAGTGTTTGTTTATCTGAAGAGGTCTTTATTTCCCCTTTGCCTTTGAAGCATAATCTCACTGGACACAGAATTCCAGGTTGGTGGGTTCTTTCCATACTTCAAATAGGTCACTCTTCTCTCTTCTTGCTTGTATGGTTTATGAAGAGATGTCTGATACAATTTATATCTCTCTTCCATAGGTAAGTTGGGTTTTTTCTTTGCCTTCTTTTAAGATTTCCTGTTTGTTTTTAGTTTTTCATAGTTTGAATAGGATATGCCTAGGTATGGTTTTTTAGAATTTATCCCAGCTTGGTATTCTCTGAGCTCCCTGCATCTGTGGTTTAATATCTGTCATTGGAAAATTCTCATCATTACTCAAGTATGTCTTCTGTTCCTTTTTCTTTTTCTGCTATTCTCATTATGTGTATGTTATACCTTTTATAATTGTCCCACAGTTCCCGGACATTGTTTTGTTCATTCCTCTTTCTCTTTGCATTTCAGTTTGGGAGATTCTATTGATGTTTCTTCAGGCTCATGGATTCTTTCCTTGGCTGTGTCCGGTTGATTAATAAGCCCATCAAAAGCATTCTTCATTTCTTATGGTGTTTTTGATTTCTAACATTTCCTTTATATTCTTTGAGTTTCAATATCTCTACTTACATTATTACATATCTGCTCTTGCATGATGGGGCTACTTTTTCCCACTAGAGTCCTAGCTTAATTAATCACACTGATTTTAAATTCCTGGTCTGATAATTCCAAAACCTCCTGTCCTCGTATCTGATTCTGATGCTTGCTTTGTCTCTTCAGACTTTTTTCTTGCCTTATAGCTTTGTCTTTTTTTTGAAAGCTGGACATGATGTATTGGGTCATAGGAAATGAGGTAAGTAGGCCTTTAGTAGGAGGTAAGTAGGCCTTTATCTGGCTAGGAGTTGGGTTGTGTTTACTGTAGGTGTCTGAGGCTTCAATTTCCTCAGCTGTCTTTGCCTTTGTGTCTCCTGTGGTCTTTGGGTTTCCCTAGAAACTTCTTCCTAAGTAGGTCTGAGCCTTGAAGTCCTCTCATCTGCGATCCTCTGTTATACTGAAGTCTGCAGATGTAGTGTGCTGGGGGGAAGCATTCAGTGCTCCTTGATCAGGCCCCCCATCTTCCCATGGCTCTGTGCCCCCAGACTGTTACCTTCACAAGTTGGTCTTGGCTATTCCCCCTCTTAGGTGAGGCAGGAAGCCTGGAGGGGGTTGGAGTTAGCTAATTGCCCTTCCTCAGGTCAGATAATAATTTTCCTTGAGAGCTGGCCTTTAATACAGAGAACAGAACGAAGAACAGAACCCTCTGGGATTAGTCTGAAATGGTTTCTGTTCCCTCCCCACTGCTAGAGGCAGCAAGGGATTTTCTTCAGTCCTCACAGCGAGAACATGGTGGGGCTTCTAGAGGTAAAACTCAGGAAAGTATGCCCCCTCCTACCCCCCCACCCCCCACCAAGCCTTGACCCCTCAGAATTTATAACACTCAAGCTAAGGCACACTGAGCCTCTGGCAATTTGTTGAGTGGAGTTTAACTGTTCTTGCCAATACCAGCTCCAGCAGTAGACTCCCTCTCTGAAGCTTTATCCAGGTCTGTCTGTTTCTGTGTCTCTCCAGTTTTCAGGGCAGTAGTTTTCCTGTGACTTCATTTCTCTGATAGATCTAAGAAGAATTGCTTTTCCATTTCTTCAGCTTTTTCTTATCACCCTCATCCTCACAATACCTTCCAAGCTCTTTACATGTTGAAATGAAACCAGGAGCCCACAAACTGCTTTTTAACGATAATTTCACAGATGTGGGCATCACAGTAGAGTCAAGAGATTGAGTCATTGTGGTTGAGTTTAAATGATCTTAATTACGTTGACCATTTTAAAGAACGGGGATCTGCTTTCCAATGAGAAGTTTTAAGACCTACATTACACACACAGTCGTTCTTACAATTTTATTTTGTTTTTACACTGCTCTCCCATGGAGCTGCCCTCTGCTTAATAAGGAAGACTTTTAACCGGCCTTTGATCCTTAGTCTTTGCAGCTCTATAAAATAGAAGTTTAAGGAACATAAGTGCTAACTGCTTAGAGACCAGCATTTTGAATTTATTTAACATTGGCTATTCTGTGATTTGGCTTTACAAAATAAAGTATGTTGTATTTTTCTCTACCAAGAAATGTTTATAGTGTAGTAATTCTGTCAGTTGTGGGTCATATAACCTCAGCCAAACATAAAGCTTTTTATTCATGCTATAGTGGTCATTATCAGACTCAGAAGTTCTTATGCTTAATAAAACAAGTGCAGATTAATAGTGGTAAAAAGGCTAAAGTTGGTTTATTGTAATTACCAATGGAATAGTTCCTGTAAAATCTAACTGAACTAGGAAGCATTGTTTTAAAATTACAATCTGTGAGGGGCGCCTGGGTGGCTCAGTTGGTTAAGCGTCTG